AAGGGGTATGGGATATTCTGACCAGATGTTATGGTGGTGACGTATCAGTAAAGAAGGTAAAGCTTCAGTCCCTGCGAAAACAATATGAAAATCTCAGCATGAAGAACAGTGAGAAAGTTTCTGATTACATCTCCAGATTGATTCTGATCACAAATGAAATGAAGGCTTGTGGAGAAACACTTTCTGAACAGGTAATCATAGAAAAGATTCTGAGGTCACTTACGCCTCAGTTTGATTACATTGTTGTTTCTATTGAACATTCTAAAAATCTGGAAACCATGAGAATAGAAGAGTTGCAAAGCAGTCTAGAAGCACAAGAGTTGCGTCTGACTGAAAGAACTTCTGAGAGGGAAGTGGAGCAAGCTCTGAAAGCTTCTTTTGTCAAGAAGGACCAGAAGCAGAATAGACATGGTGATAAATTCCAGAAGTCAGAAACCTCAACTTCTGATGAAAAGAAATATCAGAAGGGAAAGGAAAGGTATGACAAGAAGAAGGTTCAATGTTACTGCTGTAAATAGTTTGGGCATTTTGCCAGAGACTGTAGAAACAAAGGAAGAAAATCAGAAGAAGCAAATATAGCCAGAGAAGATTCTGATGATGAACCTGTGCTACTGATGGCTTCTGATTCTGATGGAAACTGTTCAGGAGATTGGTGGTATATGGACACTGGCTGTTCAAATCACTTGACTGGGAACAAACAATGGCTGACAGACTTTGACTCCAGAAGGAGAACAAAGATCAGATGTGCTGATGATAAGTACCTTAATGCAGAAGGTATGGGAAATGTCAGAGTCAGAGTAAAGAATGGAAGAAACATTCTGATCAAAGATGTCTGGTACGTTCCTGGAATTAAAAGCAATCTGATGAGTGTGGGTCAGCTTGTTGAGAAAGGTTTTTCAGTGGTTATGAAGGACAACCTCTTGATGTTGTACGATTCTAATCAGAAGATGATTATGAAGTCTGAGCAGGGAAGCAACAGAACATTCAAAGTGAATGTAGAAACTTCTGAAGCGGAGTGTCTCAGTGCAGAAGGCGCTGAAGCAGACAGTAAGTTGTGGCACAAGAGGTTGGGGCACTTGAACTATAGAAGCTTAGGGCATCTAAGTTCTAAGAAGCTCGTACATGGCATTTCGAAGATTGTGAAGCCTCAGAAGTCATGTGAGATATGCATGAAAGGCAAGCAACCCAGATTGCCATTTGCGTCAGAAGTAGCCCCCAGAGCAAAACATGCTCTGGGAGTAGTACACTCTGATGTATGTGGACCATTTCCAGTAGCTTCACTTGGAGGAAACAAATATTTCGTGTCTTTTGTGGATGAGTTCACAAGAATGACTTGGGTAACACTCATCAAGTTCAAGCATGAAGTGTTTACAGAGTTCCAGAAGTTCAAGGTGAAGGCTGAGAAGCAGAGTGGTCAGAAGCTGAAGATTCTGAGAACAGATGGTGGAGGTGAGTATAACTCTACAGAGTTCCAGAAGTTCTGTGAGGAGAATGGAATAGAACATGAGGTCACTGCTCCATATACTCCTCAGCACAACGGTCTCGCTGAAAGAAGAAACAGAACTTTGCTTGATATGACCAGAAGTATGCTGAAAGAAAAGAAGTTACCTCACATGTTATGGGGAGAAGCTGTTGCCACATCAGCATATGTTCTGAATAGGTGTCCAACGAAGAAGCTAAAGGAAAGTGTTCCTTTAGAAAAATGAACTGGAGACAAGCAGAGTGTTAGCCATCTGAAAGTATTTGGTTCTGTTTGCTACAAACACATTCCAGAGGCTAGAAGACGAAAACTGGATGATAGAAGCAAAACAATGTTACTGGTGGGGTACCACAGTACAGGTGCCTACAAGCTTTATTGTCCAGAAACCAACAAAGTTGAAATCAGCAGAGACGTCGTTGTGAAAGAGTCAGAAACATGGGATTGGAACAAGCTTCAATCAGATTCTGGTGTAGTGCCAACACCAGGGTTAGTTTCTGAAGACGAGTCAGAGTCAGAAGCAGAAGACTCTGAAGATGAGTCAGAATCTCAGGGAGATTCTGATAGTGGATCTGATTCTGATCCAGATTCTGATGATGATCCAGAATCTGGTGGTGATTTTACTTCTGAAAGGAAAAACTCTGAAGACATAGGGTCTGGAGAACAAATTTTCAGAAGTAACTCTGAAGGTGGTAATTCTGAAGGAAGTAGTTCTGGACAAGGTTCAGAAGCCAGTATTGTTCCGAATTCTGGAGAACCTTCAGAACAAGACCAGAGGCCACAGAGAATCAGACGAATACCAAGTAAGTTTGCAGATTTTAGCATGTTGCATGATACTGAAGTAGATTCTGAAGGTGAAATCGTTCAGTGTGCCATGCTAGTAGATTCTGAACTAGTGGGTATTGAAGAAGCACTCAAGAAGAAAGTATGGTTGAATGCCATGAAAGAAGAACTTGAGGCAATTGAAAGAAACAAGACTTGGAAGCTGACAGAACTTCCAAAAGGCAAGAAAGCCATCAGCGTCAGATGGGTTTTCAAGCAGAAGCTAAAGCCAGATGGATCAATTGGCAAACATAAAGCGAGACTAGTGGCCAGAGGTTTTCTTCAGAAATCTGGACTAGATTATTTTGAGGTGTTTGCACCTGTAGCTAGACACGAAACAATCAGACTGGTGATTGCTTTAGCTGCAAACAGAAATTGGCCTTTGATACATCTGGATGTGAAGTCTGCATTTCTGAACGGTCCATTGCAGGAAGAAGTTTATGTGTCACAACCTCCTGGATTTGTGAAAAAGAATCAGGAAGGGATGGTATACAGGTTAAGTAAAGCTATGTATGGACTGAAGCAAGCGCCCAGAGCTTGGAATCTGAAGATTGATTCGTTTTTCAAGGAACAAGGGTTTCAGAAGTGTGAGATGGAGTATGGTGTTTATGTTCAGCATACTTCAGAAGGTAATATGATTCTGGTCTGTTTGTATGTTGATGACATATTACTCACAGGAAGTTCTGAACAAGAAACAGCTGAGTTCAAGAAAGTTCTGATGAAGGCGTTTGAGATGACAGATCTTGGAAAAATGAGTTTCTTTCTAGGGATGGAACTTATATACTCTGAGAAAGGAATCATTTTGCATCAGAAGAAGTATGAACTAGAGCTTCTGAAGAGATTTGAGCTAGCAAATTGCAAGATTGCTATCACACCTACTGATACGAATCAGAAGTTGGACTCTGATTCTGATGGAGAGGATGTGGACGCTACAACCTTCAAACAGATTGTTGGTTCTCTGAGGTATTTATGCAATACCAGACCTGATATTTGTTATGCAGTTGGAATGGTCAGCAGATACATGAGCAAACCAAAGTGGTCTCATTACCAAGCTGCTGTCAGGATTCTGAGGTATATAAAAGGAACTCTGAATTATGGAGTGTTATTTCCTTCTGGAGGAAAGATCAAATCAGAACTTCTGAGTTATTCTGATTCTGATTGGTGTGGAGACAGAGTCGACAGAAGAAGCACTTCTGGGTATTTATTCAAGTTTCTGGGAGGTCCAATTTCTTGGTGTTCCAAGAAACAGCCTGTTGTGGCTCTGTCAACATGTGAAGCTGAATACATTGCTGGTGCTGTAGCCGCCTGTCAAGCAGTTTGGCTTCTGAATCTGCTGCATGATCTGAAGGTTGAAGTTGAGGAACCTCTGAAGCTGATGATTGATAACAAGTCTGCAATTAATCTTGCAAAGAATCCAGTTCTACATGGCAGAAGCAAGCACATTGAGACGAAGTATCACTTTCTCAGAAGTCAAGTGCAGAAAGGAGTGTTAGAAGTTCTGCACTGTAGCACTCAGAAGCAGTTGGCAGATGTTCTGACCAAGGCAATAAAAACAGACCAATTTCTGCGCTTGAGAGATGAAATTGGTGTTGTTAACTTCTGATAAATTACTAAATTACGGGATGGTATTAGAGGATAATTTAGTATTTTGTTATTTGTAGATAAGTTTTAATTAGGGCTTATGTGGCCCCTTTGTTTGTGTATAAATAGGTGTACTAGGATTACATTTTAAATCAATCAATTCTCCAATCATTTGCAGTCAGCCTTTATTGCATTTATTCCCTTTCATCTTCTTCCTCAAATTCATCACCTTGCACTAACAAAAATCACGTCGTAAATGAATTTGTTTTTTAATGATTATCTACTCTTTTCAAATGTATTATACGATTAATATGTTCACCTGGGTTATTTCTTTTGGTATGTATAATTTCTTACAAGAACCTTGTATTATCTATCTTTTTAATATTATATTATCATATTGTTATATACTTTAATCAAAGAGGCTATGAGCAAAAGTTTGGCTATAAAATTTTGAGAGTGTCATGACTACTGCCCGCCCCCATCTTTTGTTCTGCCATTGATAACGGGTAAGGGGTATAAGTGAATTAGATTATCGGGAAATGAGTTTATAAAGATAACATATATATCAATTAAGTTAATATATTTATTACCATCCACGAATTTACCTCTCAATTTTAGTATGTTTGATTTTACATTTGAAACATCTAAAATGTAGAACTAATTTTAACATGTTTGATTACAACTAATTTTAACATGTTTGATTACACTGGAATAAAATTGATTGTGCTACCTATAATTTATTGTACTTGAAGTTATGATTTATAGCTTTTGAATATAAATATAATTTTTATCCCGAAATTCACTTTTCAACTTATTTTAGCAACAATTTATCTAAACATAATTCATTTTAATTTCAATTCACTTTTAGTCAAAAACAATTTTATAGAATCAATTCACTCAAAACCATTATCCAAATCCTTATAGTGTTTTCCCATCTTTTCACATCCACTTTCAATTAAACTTGTTGATAAAGAGCTTCCAATTGAAATGACAAATCAACGATGTTATTTGAAACCACATGCTTAATGCCTTCAACCCTTTGTTTGTTGTCTATCATTCCACTAAATATCTATAACAGGTGGATTGTTGTGTTGAAAACAAAGTAAACCAACTTTTTTATTCAAAGACTAATTTTATTAGATAGAAGCGAAGTCTGATACAAGACTAGAGATTTGGTCAAGGGGTATTTTCCCGGTGTTGCATCAATATTTTGGTTCCTACTAACAAACAGAAAAGTAGTAAGTTGATAGGAATTAGCCAAAGCTAAACAGTCTGAAATAATTGGTTTCAAAACCGCTATAGAGGTCACCCTATTCAAGCAATCCACAACTAAGAGAGCATCAGAATAAAGAATCAACTTCGAAATTTTGAGGTCCGCTGCCAAGCTGAGGGCTCACCTTACTGCCAAAGTCTCTGCAATAGCTGGATCAGCTTCCATACGAATCCTATTTGTCGCAGACAGGAAAATACATGCTTCCTGACTCTGCATTACACACCCCATAGCAATGGTGCCATCACTGAAGCATCATGCATCTACATGGATCGTGGTCACACCTCTGGTTCCTCCATCCTTAATCTCGTGTCTCAGGCTTTTCTTATTAAACTTTGATCCTAGATTGTGGGAATTAAACTTCTGGATCCAATCTATGACTCTTTGTGCAACATCAATAGGGTTGAATGGATCACTATTGAAGATTACACGATTCCTCGCATCCCAAATCTTCCACAGAGTAACACAGAATAATTGAGTCCCATAAGGACCACTCATATTCAAGCAATTATTCATCCAGAAAGTCAGATCAGAAGTAGGGTTTATACGGAGACCAAGGGGTGATAAAAATCAAACCTGTTTGGAGAATTCGCAATGCAGGAAAAAGTGATCAATTGTTTCCAGATTGTTGTGGCATAGGGGGCAGTCGGGGGTGGTTTGAACTCCTTTATGACATAAATTTCTTTTGGTACGGAGAATATTCTTAGCAGCCTCCACAGAAAATCCCTCACTCTATTATGGACTGGTGCATTCCAAAGCTTTCACAAGTAACCCCAACTTGAGAGCAACTGAAACAAGACTATTTTATGAAATTGACTTTTGTCATCCATCTAAGGTTTGTTGCTTATAAAAGTGGCTCTCTACCACCATTCATGGCAAGTTTTAGAGGAAGTGCACAATTACCTTTACAATCTTACCAAATCAAATTCAACAAGACTTGCAATCAATCACTAAATGCAATTGAAATATATTTAAATTTCAATCATGTTCAATATTACAGATTATCTAGTGTCCATATGTGATTTAGTGTTACACCTTAATTAATTTGGGGTCCTTCTTTAGGCTATTCAAGAAGATTATGACTACTACATGCAATATCAATGCCTAAATCAAAACCTTCAAAATATATTGATTTTCAAAATTTTGAAAAATCAAAATCAATTTCATCCATAGAGCTGAATTTCATTTCTTCATGATCTCTCCAAAATCAAAATCAATTTTCTCAATTCCCATACCCAACAAAGCCTCCTTTCCCCCATCAACCCCCACACTTAACTTCTATTCCTGACTCCTGAGTTCTATTCAAGCTAATGCATCAATAAATTGACACAAATTAAAATCCTTACTTCCAATTGGCATTTAATCATATAGTTATAAACTGTAAATTGTAATATACCTCAAGAGACAGTAATTTTCAATTCAAACTAGTAACCATCAAAACAGGACATTAGCACAAGAAACTAAATGACACTGGAACTAAATTGTCATCTTACGAAGATTGCCATAAACGTAGCACCATGGTAGAGGTAGAGAAACACGACGAGACCACAACAACAATCAACTCATATAACATTGTTAAATAGAATTTGATGGTGCAATGATAAAAAATGCACAAGCAGGTCGAGTTTAACATGAGTGCTCTTATTTTCTACCAAAACACAAAACAATAGAAAACAGCTCACTCTTCATAATCTTCATTGGCAAAGACAACGTTCAACAAAAACGATATCTTCCATCTAGAAGAAAACACATAAAAAACACAACTCAAAGCAGCTTAACACCAGCCTCCCTTAGAGAATCAATAACAGCCTTTACCTTTCCGTGATACCGCTGTTGTCTCTTAAAGTGAACAGAAACAGCAGGAATGTCCTTAAGCGAAAGACGCTCGGCAAGTAACTTTCCGATCTTAGCGGCCGCAGCAACATCGCGAGTAGTTTCCAAGGTAGATCTTAAGGCTTTCTCCTGCGAGCTCGCGGAAGAAGCTACGGTAGCAGTTGGAGTGTGGATGACTTGAGCAGTGACGTACTTGTTGGTGAAATGCATCTTCAAAACATAGGGTTTGAGGAAATTTGTAATCCTTGGTGGCCTTACCGGCGGTGGAATAACCATATCTGTTTCGCAATATAATCAAAATTGAAATCAGAATATAGTTTATGCGTAACAGAATCAGATATTATAACGGCATTAGAAAACTGTCATTGGCATGAATAATCCTAAACCCTAGGTGGTGCGATTGCGGCGATACGGACGGGAGTGGCCGCTTCCGGAAACGGCGTCACTGTCGCGGCTGCCTCGGGTTCGTTTAACGATAACGAAACGGCGTAAGTAGCTGCCGTTGTGGAGATTCGTGGCGGTTATAGTGGAAAATATTGAAATAACAAAATGTGGAGAGAAACCTGAAGAGTGGCGGTGGAAGGAGGAGTGAGAGGATGAACAAGCGGCGGCGCGTGGTTGAATTACAGTAGTGGCGGCTTTGCTAGGTTAAACGATTAAAAACCCAATCTGATGAAATTGAAATCCTAATTATATTCATAGCATATTTATTGTAATTAGAGAGATGGCTTAATTTAACATTAGAGAGATTCCTTACCTTGGCTATTTTTATCTACTCTTTATTACTCACTATCATCAAAATCTTTATTTATATTAACTCTTTATCATTTTTTATTATCAAAATTACTTTTTCTATTAACTTTTTAATACTCACTATGTGTATTTTTTGTTAAAATATATTTTTAAAGATAAAATTATAATATATTAATTAATAAAGTGAAGATAGAATACAAACATTATATTATTGTATCTGATTTTATCAGTTGATTAGAATTTGTAAGGTGGTCGGATGATGATCTTCGGACGAGCTGGAAAGTCGAGGAGGAAAAATGGAGGTTGTACGTGCAAGGCACTTCGGCGATCAAGTAAGTGTGGAAGCAAAAGAGATACAAACAAAGTGTTAGGGTTTTAGTGATGAATAGTGGTTATTCGATATCTGGCCCTCACATGTGTGAGAGTTTATATAATGTCTCTGACGTTTGGCCATTGGTCCTTATTTTTGGGTCTAGATATACGGACAACCCTAGTATTTTGACACCCACATACTAGAACACACATCGACTACAGTATGTAGGTCTTCGACACCAGCATGTGAATATACTTCGATGACATGCATAAATCCTGTTGAACCAGAAGCTACTCTTCGACCCAATAGAGCTCGATCCAATCTCTCACAAATCTCCACTTTGGAATAAACTCTAATATCATGGAACAAATTAGCTTTCTTCATGCAGCTTTATCAACTGCATATAGTGGAAAAACTTGCAACTGGGCAATGTCTTGGTGATCATATCAGGAACATTGTGATCTATTGAAACTTTCAGCATTTGGACTTCTCCACGCTCAATTACCCCTCTGACGAAATGCAGCCTCACATCGATGTGCTTGGTTCGTTCATGATAGGCTGAGTTCTTCGACATGTGTATTGCACTTTGACTATCACATTTAACACTGATAACTCGGCCTTGAAGTTTCAGCTCCTTAGCAAAACCTTTAAGCCACAATGCTTCTTTCACAGCTTCAGTGAGGGTAATATATTCTGCTTCAGTGGTTGATAAAGCAACAACCTTCTGAAGTGTCGCTTTTCAACTGATTGTTATGCCAAACATAGTGAAAACATATCCAGAAACAGATTTTATGGAATCCATACAACCTGCATAATCAAAGTCGACATACCCTTTGATTACTGCTTTATTATCTTCATCCAAGGCTCCACCATAAATTAAGACTTTGTTTAGAGACCCATTTATGTACCTTAAAATCCACTTCAATGTTTTCCATTGAGCCTTGTGATCGGTGGATCTGGAACTGACTGTTTAACGTTGGATCGCGAAATGTCGCGGAAGCAAGAGTCGCCACCGTCTTTTATTTTCTCCAAATGGAAAGGACAAAAGCACAGAAAAATTCCTTAAAGAGATTGCTCTCGGTTCGGGAGGTAGGTTATAGAAAGGGAAGGTGTTAGCACCCTTTCTATCCATGGTTATCCATGGGCTCTTAGATACTTGCTCACTTGTGTTTTCAAAAATGGTTTGTTTGCTTTTCAACTGTGGGTTTTAAAAAGTTTCTTTGAAAATCCCAGTTCGGCTCTTGTATCGGTCCTCAAGAGTGTTTGAAAAATTGCTTTCGAAAGCTTTTTGAAAATGTGTTGGTGTGAAAAGTATTTTTGATTTGTTTTGAGATTAGAGCAAGTATCTAGAGTCGTCTACCTACCCTAAGGAATTCGTCTGTGTAAATGTCCTTTAAGGTAATGCCATCTCACCATTGAGAGGTAGGTAGCACCACCGTTGGAGGTGTTCGGGTCAATTCGAGTTTGTAGGGACATGGTGATCACCAGAGCAATGGGAAGACACCTTAGAAGCTACCCTCATGCCAGGTTCCCGGATCATGAGGACTTACTAAGACATCCTCTACTCGACGATAACCTTTCGAGGCAAGGCAACAGTGAGGCGTACCCTAGGGGTGGTGTGTGATTTGTGTGTCGTTTTCATTTGTATTTGTCTTGTCATGTTATTGGTGTTCTACGCTTGTTTTTATTTAAGGCCATTCATTCTTGCATGCTTTGTTTAACAGTTAAAATAGTTGCGGGGAAAGTAAATCTAAAGCTATTACAAATGGCGCGGGTCCACATCGCCAAAATTAAACCGGACCCGATTTGACGGAAAATAAAGAAAGTAAAAGAATTGAAGTAATTACAAGGCTTCGGGAGAGGTACATAATTATTTAAATGACATAAAATAAATATGCGAATAAATAAGAAATTACGAACGAACGAGGGCGTTGGACCCTTTTGCAAAATATTAAAATTAATGAGGAATTAAAATTAAAATTAAAATTAAAAGAAGGCAAGAATTTGTTTTTTTTTAGTGTTTTTAATGTTTTAAGATTTAACAGAAAAAGAATTAATCAAAATACGACGCAAACCCTAATTCTAGTTATTTTTAAGTTATTAAGAAAAATATTGAATTTTTTAACCTAAATTAAACCCTAATTAATTTACATGCAAATTTGATTATAAAAATATTAAAATAAATAAATATTATTATGAGAAAGAAAAATTAAAAGGGAATAAAAACATTAATTAAACCTAATTCTATTTCTTTTTTAGATTTTTTTTTATTAAAGAAATTAAAGTTAAAAACCTAATTTAAACTAATGAATCACAGGCCAATTTATTTACAAGAAAATATTAAAATAAAATATTTATTATGTTTTTTGTCTTTTCTGATTTTTTATGATGTTTTTGTATTTTGTAAAAATAATTAATTAAATCAAAACAATAAAGAAAATAAAATAATAATTAAAAATAAAATATAAGGAAAATGTAGAAAATTGCAAACCAGGGGGGTAGTCCCCAATATGGAGGTTTTGTAAGCATTTTTAAGCCCATTAAGGATCTGGCCTTTATTGACTTTCCAGATGGCATGCTGCAGCGTTGACTAGGGCGTAGCGCGTTCTTTGAATCC